GGGAATCTCACATGCAGATCACCTGCAACCTGGAGCAAGGACAGGGTGGGTCTTGAGGCTGCACCTCACTCACCTGTGACCACACCCACCTGTGACCCCGCCCCCGTGCCCCACCCTATCCATGCCCACCTGTGGCCACACCCACCCATGGCCCCGCCCACCCCTGCCCCACCCTGCTCACCTGTCCTCCTCGATGCCGCCGCCCTCGGGGTCCCCGCTGTCGCCCTTCTCGGTGTCCCCTTCCCCCAAGTCCATGTCCAGCTCATTGCCGGTGTCCGGTCGGGTGTAGGCGTATCCACTGTGGGAAAGGGCGGCGCTCAGGCCAGGGAATCCCAAAATTCTGGGAAATCCCCTTGGAATTCCAGGGAATCCCCTCAGGAACGCCCTCAGAACGCCCCCGCCTCACCTGATGGAGCGGCAGGTAAAGAACACGATYCTCTTGAGCCGCTTGTTGTAGAAGAAGTAGTTGAAGGACCAGAGGCTGCCGTCCTCTCCGAAGGGATCCGAGTCCAGGTCGGGGTTGTAGCTGYGGTGGGAAYGGGAGAAATGGGATGGAYGGACAGATGGATGGACGAAYGGATGGATGGACGGACAGACAGGCTGGGTGTGCCGGACGCTCCCGGAGCGGCACCGGAGCAGGCAGGGCTCGGGAGCCACCCCAAATCCTGGGGAGATGGCAAGGGAGGGAACCCCGAATCCTGGAATTTCCAGGGGTGGGAATTCCAGGGGTGTGGGAATTCTGGGGGCGGGGGGTGGGAATTCCTGGGAATGGGAATTCCAGAGAGTGGGAATTCCAGGGCTGAGAATTCCAGGGTGGTGGGAATTCCATGGGTGGAAGTGGACAGCAACCATAGGTCCTCACATGGGAGGGACATTGTACCTGCTCTGGCTGCTCCTCACACCCAAAACACCACCTTTTTTATGGAAAAAACGCCTGTCCAGGGGCAGAACCCCTCGGAAAGGGCTGGAATTCCACAGGAAGGGACAGAATTCCTCAGGAAGGGCCGGATCCAGGTGCTCCAGTACCTGTAGATGTCACACTCGGCCAGGCAGATCTCCTCATCCACCGCGTCCCACAGCAGCGGCTTCAGCGCCTTGAAATCCTCGCGCACGGCCGAGAAGAGGCTGCAGTTAACGGCATTGACCACCTGCAACAGGAATGGGGA